GGGCCATTTTTGAACAATTGCAGCAATTAAATATAGCATTTGATTAGAATTTAGAGATTTAGTGAATATTGAAAGGCCTATAGTAAACACTAGAGTGACCAGTGTGGTTTATATTAATATTCTTGTTCTTCTAGTTCACCTTAATAAATATAACATACAAAAGTGTTTTGTTTTCCTCAATTTTTTTTTTTTTAGAGGGGCCACATTGAAATTTTGTATCTATGATTTGTTGCCAGGATTTTTTTACGTAGAGTTGTGGTGTGATTCAGATTTCAGGAGAGATTTTCCTAACTGTTTTGTCTGTCTTTGAGTTAAAACTTGCATATTTTTCTTAATGAGCTTGTGCAATTTCCAAAAATAAATATATATTGAAAATGAAAGGGCTTTCATTTCAGATTAAGATACATATTTAGATGCAGATTTTAGAAGAGAGGCTATGGATATACTCATTCCTAAGTGACCAGAAGATGCAAGACACATTTGTCTGTCGTGGCTGTATGTTTAGTAGATCTTCAGATAAACCCTACATTGTGGTGTTCTGTTTACTTCAGTCTGCTGGAAGAGTAAGAGGTAACTATTGTGGAGGAGATTTGGCTTTACTGCAAATTCTACAAGGAAGCCTGCGTCCTATAAGGCAAAGTATTGTCAAAGTAGATCTGGCTACCCTAACTTTGGGAACTTGTAGGCTTAGCTTTGCTTTGATTCAAATTCCAAATGAAGGAAATGGAACTAGAAGCAAGCTTGCAGGGTACTGTGAGTATAATTCTGAGCCTTAACTCCAACAATTGTAATATTAGAAACATTTTTGATTGAGAAAGCCATGATGGATGCATATTGTCTTTTTTAAGTTTCATATATGTGAACTGGTTAACTTTAAAATGCTGATAAACTATTAGGCCCCACTTCTACATACTGTGTTCAATATTGGTTAATGCAAGTTAAAAAGGTACCTAAGAAAGGTGTCTTAGAACAGAATTATATTTGTTTAACATGGTGCCTATATTTTAAAGTCTCAGTGTTTTATGAATGTTTATTCTTACAATGCTGTTTTGGAATGAACTGCATTTTGCTTTATAGACAGAAAACCAAAAATCTGGAAAGATCAAGTGTGTTGTCAAAGGCGACTCAGGAAAGAAGTGTGTGGCAAAAGCCGAGTAAAATTCCAGTCTCGCAACCTTCCATACTGTAAATAAATGACAAAATCATTTTTCCCGATCTTTGTTAATGTTCCAAGGTACCATATGCTTCTTATATACTTGAGTGCTTATTCCAGTTTCTGTATGTTGGTACTAGGGATGGCATGCCCCGTAAAATTACCTGTTTGTATGGAGTACATTTTTTCATTGTTTGAAAAAATACATACAGGTTTATTGATTTATGTAACACACGTGTGAGAATTTTCACTTTAAGTTAGTATGATTTCTGTCTTCAGAACTTTGGGTTCAATTGAGGCTTTTGAAACATGCACTGAATGTCATAAAATTCCAGCAAAACTGATAATTGTTCAATTCTTTACCACAAAAATTTCAGGAAGTTCCTCAGAGAAAATGTATCAATGGCTGCTCTGTCTACGATCAGACTTGGCTGCAATATGTAATTTTTATTTTATTTTTAGCAGCAACAATWAAATGGCATTGAGGAATGGTTTTGGAGATCATGTGTATTTAATTTGTATTGCTTTTTTGCATTTATTTTGCAAACATACTTGGGTCTTGAGTTTCCCCACAAGTTCTGGGTTTTAGTCTTCTCYGTTTCCTAAATTTGTTTGTTTTATGGGAAATCATTCTCAAATAATTATCCTTTCTTTACAAAAATATGCAAAACAGTACAAATCAGACATGAGATCTTTTGCATCTTGATTGCTAGATTTATTTTATAGAGGTTATAAAACACACAACAATCATGGAAATGTATAGCATCTAGATCTGTTTCTTAGGATTATATGTCCACTTAGAGGAATATATCTAGATCATTTTTTGATTAAAATTTCTTAGGCAAAAATCTTCAGATCTTCTTTAGTTAAGAATGGAGCAGAGAGGAGAAGGCCAAAAACCAAAACTGCACATATTATCAGTGCATTCAGTGCCCTGTGAAGGTCAGTTGTGGCTTAATTGTTTTATATTTTATTCTGTATTACTTGATAATTTATGCAATTTCATTTTCTATGTGTGCTACTGAAATTGAGTTGAAGTTTTCACAGAACTTCTTGAGTAAATCTGAGATCTCTTCTTTGAGYGATATCTCTCCACATTTATAAACAATGAATTTCATAGTCTAGTCGTGCTCTAACATAATGTTTGCTCTTTATCACATTTGTGATCTAGGATAACTTAATAACTCCTATTACCCCCCTCTTCATCTTTGTTTCTAAATTATTCCTACATATTCTTTCTAAATTATTATATAAATTTGTTGAATAACACAGAACAGATCCCAATGGGATACCATTGTCCACTTTCTTTTTAGTGAAAACTGTTAACTTCTACTTGTTTAAGTGTCAGACAGCGATGACTTTTCCACAGCACGCCTTAGCATTTTTTTTCTTTTGGCTGATGAAAGGATCATAGAAAACAGCTTTTTCAGCTGTAACATTTTGGACTATGTTCTCTATGCTGCCCAGGACAAAGTCCAGAATCAATTACCTCTTCTAGGTTCCTCAGTTACTTGTTCCATACTGCAAAGTTGTTTGGAATTCAGTATTTTAGTTTCAGCTTTGTGCTCCAAGGAGAGATGGAGAGATATTTGAGAAAGAACTCCAGACTTGCTGCAATATACAGAGTCAGGTTTTGAGCCTTGATCTCATTTTTGCTTCCCCTATGTACTTTGAAGCTTTGAACTTTTGAACTAGGCAGTACCATAGAATAGCTGAGATGGAAGGGGATCTCTAGGAATGACCTGGTCCCTCACAACTGCACAGACAGCTGGGTCAGGGTGCTCAGGGCCCTGTCCTGGCAAGTTCTGAATGTCTCCAAGAAGGGATATTTGACTACGTTCGTGTAAACTTTTTTTGCCTAATATCTAATTAGGATTTCTTTTGTAACTTTTATCTTTTGCCTCTTGTCTGATCACTGTGCATTTCCAAGAGTAGTCTAATTTCTTGTCCTCTAACTTCCCCTTGGGCAGCTGTAGTCGGTAGAAAGATTCCCCCCTTAACCTTCTCGAGAGCAACCAGAGCCAGATTTCTCAACCTCTCCTAGTCTGTCCTGAACATGAACCCTGGGATCTTGTCTGGACTTGAGTTTGACAATGCCCAAAACTGGGTGCAATGTCTATATTGCAGCCTTACACTAGTGGGATATAGAGGAATGAAGTGGGCAGCCACTTTCCATAGCCTTGATGATTTCAGACTGCTAATTCAACACGGTGCGTGGCTGCCACCTTCTTCCTTATGTTCAACTTGTCAACAAGAACCACCAAATCCTTTTCTGCAAAGCTGTCTTGTAGCCAGTTGATGACCAGATGTACTGTTGCATGAGGATATTCCATTCCAGATGCAAGATATTGAATGTCCTTTTTGAAAGTCAGAAGGTTTTTGTCAGCCCATTTCTTAGCCTATCAAGTTCCTTCCATATGAATAGCAACCCTGCCTTGTTTATTAACTGCTATCCTCAGTTTGATATGATAACTATTCATACCACAGTCTTTCCATAAATATTTTGATACTGAAAACATCTGTCCTGGAGTATGGACTTATGTTATATGCAAATAAATTTCAGTTTTACTAATGGAAACTGTTGCAAAAGATATTTTTCTAATGGAACAAACTGATAGTTATGACTGTTGCAGTAATAAGGAGCRTATCATGAAACACTGGTGAACAATTTCTGTGATTTCAGGGGCATGGTTTATGCTGCCTGCTGGTTTAAAGATTACTTTGTTTTTATGGAGGATAAAGTCATAGCTCCCTTGGAGTTTATTAGAATAGATGGTTAGTGATAGCACAGATTTCAGAGGGGTGGTAGTGAAATGGGATGGTGTTTTTTTCCACTTTCATCCTAATGAATGTCTTTGGTCTGCTCTAATGATTCCATTGCAAAATTTGCAACTGTAAGCTTCTGTCTGAGCATCCAGCATCATGGAAATATGTAACATTCTCAGATTTGATTAAAGAGAGTGATACTCCAAAAATGTCCCTCTCCACACTACTTTCATGTATGGCAAGATATGCAAGTCCAGAAGTATGAAMAGTGTGTGATTTAGATCTTTACATGTCTTGTTGCATTCTTCCTACTCTAGAAAGCTAATGAAAGGTGGGAATATTTTTTTATTCATTTTGGTATAGTGTACCAGGCTTTTTTGTTTTTTCTCTGGCAGTTTATTATGTAAAACAAAGCCCGCCTTTAAGTTAAGGTGGAGAAATGMACACAATAGTTGTTCGTGTGATGAATGTTTATAGCTAATACATGATGGTAGTATATGCCTCTATGACATCAGTTGATGTTAAGAGTACACGGAGATTTACAGGCTGTAAAAATTGGGTAAGTTACTGGCTGTGTTGCAGCAAAAAGAGATTTTATGTGGAAACATGTGGTGGAGGGGTGGATCCTATTGTTTGAGTTGTCTCAAGTATTGGGCAAGAGTTGTTCAGTAAAAGAGCAGATACTTCTGACATATGAAAAGGTTATTTCTTCGTGCAATCTTGCCATTTAAGATCTCCAGTAGTCTGAGTAAACCATGGTTAGAAATGAAGCAACTACACTGGATGTGGGACTTGAAAATCAAGATAATTTTTCTGTAAACTTTCACTCTGTTTGTTTATAATCTTCCCTACGGCTGAAGTCAGACTCCTCCTGTGACTTGGCAAAGTGATTAGGCCCTGAATTTTCAATTCCTCAGGCATTACCTGATGTAGAAGCCTTGTAATCAGAGTTACTTTACAGTTAGAGGGATATCATTGGATTTCCTTTCCCCATGCAGCATACATTTTTGGACATAAAAATATATAGATGTGATTGAGGCTGATGAAGTAGCTTGTTTAAATAATGCTTTTATACTTACAGGGCAACTGGATAGACATGAAGGGCACAGAGGAGTGTTATTTCTCCTACAGTCTCTACAATGGCTGGTCGTTCCAGTGTTGTCACCAACAGCTCAGTGCCCCTGTTTCACAGTGGCCGTGTTAGGACATTACAACCAACAACTGAGCAATGACGTTTAATCCTTTCTCAGTGTTATGAAGCAAGCAGATTGCAAAAGGTACAGTATGTAAATATTTATCTTTATATATATATATATAAAAATATATATATATGAATGAATGCTAATTATGTGTCATAATAGTATAGTCTTGTTTATTAACAGAAGGCATCTGCAAATAACCTACAGGTTAAATAGATGTTAACCTACAGGTCAGTATGGATATAATAAAAATGTAGCAAGGTGAAAAATGTAAAAGTAAGTTCTTCTATTTTCTACCTGCATTTATATGCACATTTATGTGGTGTGTTTTGTCTGACAGTAAGCTTCATATTTGAAGAAAAAAATATTTGCTTTGTCAAGAACACATTTGCCATCTTTGTTCTGTGTAGAACACACGGCTGTCATCCCAATACYGACATATTTGAAGAGCAAACATTCTAGGTTTCTGTTTTTCTTATTTTAAATACACATGCAAGACTCAATTTCCTTGTACGAACTACCTGTGCCCTGGATGCTCCCACTGGACATTATCCCTTTGGAATCCACTTTATTTCTAGAATATTTAATAATAAAATTTTAAATATCTTGGTTGATAATATATGCCCACAATTTTTAGGGAAAAAAGGATGAAGTCAGCTCATTTAAAAGTTCAGTAGAACTATGTATTTGAAGAATGAGATGAAAGCCTTTTCCTTTATGAAGCACAAAAATAAAAAAAAAAAAACCTTTTTGACAGAGGCTGCTCGTGTAATTTATGCAAGTTTTCCCCCTGAAGCTTATTCAGGTGGCCTGATGTGCAACSGAACAAGTAAAATAAGTGCCAAAACTGATATCAAAGGAAAAAAATAGTATGAATGCAGGGAAATCATGCAGCCTTTTCATTATCAGTTAATACACAGGCTATGTTTAAGCAAAGCCTATGAAGTAACATAAAGATGAGATTTCTGAGTAAATGATGTCTGCTAAGTCTTAAAGGAAGTGTAGATGAAGTAGTGTTGTAGGAGCTTGGTATCATGGGGAGGGGGTTGTGCCTGATATTGGATGAATAAATTTTGTGTGGTATTCTTAAAGTGTTTGTGAGAGCTTGTTTGTTTACCTAAAGCCCAGCTGGACTAGATGCTTTCTGTGTTTCAGCTCCTAATGAGAACAAGATGAGGTCATGAGTCTCTCTGATAAATATGAATTTATACATAGGTATTATTCAAACACTACTGGTGTGCAGAGCCTTTTGTCATGACTAATGAAACTATCGACTAAATGAATTGAGGCACAGTCTTTCATGCAGTATTATGGAAAAAAAGGAGAATGTCTCAGCCCATCTTCATCATTCCCATCATCTTGCCTCCTTTCAGTTTCCTGTGGAGTCTTTCAGTATCTATAAATAGGAATGCTAGTAGATGTAGTGATCTAGATTTTTCTTTTAAAGAAACAAAAATGACAATCTCTTCCTCCCTCAAACTACCTGTGATAAGCAGGGATTTACTTAACATGATGATGAACAATTTATAGCTTCTGGGCTGTGCTTTTACACTTTGAGATGGATTCATCTGTATTACCTGGTTTTATGAGCATACAGAGATCTCAGTTCTAAGGTGATTAGAGTCTACTTCCTGCACTGGTAGTATAGGCTGCCATTAGACTTGTATATGTGGTAACAGAATATCATTTTAAGGTATGTTTGCCTGAAATAATGATTTTGACACGATTCTGTCTCTATGATGCCACTTATTGATTCATGATGGTGATTCTGACATCAGCCCATATTCGTGATGCCGGTATGGAGGGGATGAGAGCACAGGCACCTAATTCCCTGACCCTCACACTGTCCTGTGAGGAATTAGTTGGTGTACATTAAAATGTTTGGCTATTGTAATAGTTATAGCTGGGAAAATAAGCTTGTACTTAATAACCCCAAGATTAGCAATCTTCTACAGTGATGTAATGCTGTCTTCTTACATCCTTTCTTATATCCAAACAAAAATTGATTATTTACTCCTTGGCTGAAGCTAGAGATCTAGAGCAAAAGTGTTGAAATATCTGAATGCTTTCTTTTTTTCTGTAATAGTTGGATATCAGTGTGATATTGCAGTAATCTTCCTTGCACTATGCACTGAATAGTCCGATATTTCTTAACTGCAAATGCATCACTACGAATTTCCAAGTAATGCTTTTTGTAATTAAATTCAGTTTCAAGTTGACTTTACTTTGCTTACATTATCTGGTTAGGCAATCATTGCCTGGAACATAATAAAATAATCTAACTACTGTTCTTTTAAGCAGAAGCTAAGCAATAATTAATATGCTTCCTTATGGATATCCTTAAAAAATTTAGGAAATATGAAGAGGAATCATCAATAAGAATAGAGAAATCATCTTGTTATACAGGAGCTTTTGGATGGTATGTTTCATTGAAAAATCTTAAAGAACAACAAAAACTTAAATGAAATACAAATACAGCAAGATTGTTAACTGCAGGATACCTTTAAGGCAGAAATTTGACTTGAGTCACGTGAAGAATATTCCAGCAGTGCTGTTCATATTCTTAAAATCAAATGAGCCAGACGTTTACTGGATTTTGATGCTAAGGGTATATACTTCTGTGTGTCTATATACCCACGCATGTGCATGCACACATGCACATATATGCACATAAACACATGTATATGTGTGCATACTGCTTTTTTATTCAGTCTAATGAACAATGCTATATATATAAAGTCTACTGTAATTAGTAGTAGACTTTTGAAAGGCAGAGTAAATACAGAATTTGCTTGTGTTCAGGCCCAGTGTGACAGGTACATAGCACTGTTTTGACTTTATCATAGTTTTCACTTGACTTTCTTGGTTCTTCTTAAGGAGAGAATTACCCTTTCCTGAATTTCTAGAAATCTCTTAGTATATTCTGTGAACTGCTATGGATAATATCCATATGGAAAAATCTGTTTATCAACTAAACCAAAAATCAAGGTAGTTAACTATTTGAAATGCCTTCGACTGTAGTAAAATTAACATGGCATTCTTATGCTTTGTAGTAGAACTAGAAACTTGCTATGTTTTATGTTTTTTAGATACTCATTTGTCTCTTAGTCATTTAAGATTTTTTTACAAATGAAATAGCAAAAAAAAAAAAAAACATTTCCCAATTTATTTCTTCTTGCAGTTCAATCACAATGATAAATAGAATGTGTCTTTTTTACTTTAACCACTATTTGATTGCACAAAGCTGTTGCTTTTTCTTTCACAATTCTAGCAAAGAAATGCTAAACAGCTGGTATTTTTTTCTAATAGTTTTTAAGGCAAATTGCAAAAAAAAAAAAAAAAGCTTTGAAAAATAGTGAGTTGGGGTATATACAGTATAGTATATGTATAGTATTATACAATTTTTGTCTTAACCTAAGCTGACAGAGTCCTTCAGAATATGAGAGGACATAAGGATGTGGTTTAGGTTGCAGCTAACTGTATCCAGATAGGGAAGAATTGTGGAAAATTTTAATTTTCTGGAGGAGGTTTAACTTGAATGCCCCGAATGCTTGCTGTAAGGGACTTTAAACCTTTAAGTGTCTAATAGGAATTGTATCAGAATAGAAGAAATACTGTAAATGATTAGAAAGAAACCATGATCTATGATCTTTCTGGAGTGAAATAATAAAACTAGTGATATTATTAGGAGAACAAATGGAAAAACAAGTGAAATCTACTAAAAACAGTGTCCAAATTCAACAATATAGTGTATATGCTACATTACATTTGTCTACTGCATTTGAGAGAGAGAGAGAGTGGTGACCTTGATGTATACAAGTGCAGGGTCCTGAATGGGGATATACTCATGAGTGCTGAGGGTGGGGTCAGATGTTATTTCTAGGCCTTTCTCAGTAATCTTGGAAAGGAAAAGCAGAAGAGATGACTGAGGACTGGAAGGTGGCTGATGTCATTCCTGTTTTCCAAATAGGCAAGGAGCAGGACCCCGGGAACTACAAGCCAATCAGCCTCACTTCCATCCCTGGGAAGGTGATGGAATTAGCTCACCTTGGATGCCCTTTCCAGGGAGGATCCAAGGGTAAGGAGGTGCTTAGAAGTAATCAGCATAGATTCATCAGGGAGAAATCATTGTTGACAAGCCTAATAGCCTTATATGATGGAATGACTAGCTGGATAGATGAGAGGAGAGCAGTGAACATTGTCTGCCTTGCCTTTAGGGAGGCTTTTGATGCAGTCTCTTGTAATATCCTCATAGACAAGCTCAGGGTGAATGGAATAGATGGGCAGGCAGTGAGGTGGACCAAGAACCAGTTGAAAGGCAGAGCTCGGAGGGTTGTGCTCAGTGGCAYAAGGTCTGGTTGGATGCCTGTAGGTAACAACGTGCCCCGGGTGTTGCTACTGAGTTGAGTCTTGTTTAATTTACTCCTTGGTAAATTGATGAGGCAAGCAGTATGGCAGAGTTGCTCCACAAGTGTGACTCACAGACATGCAAGGGCTCCCAATTCCAGTGTAGTCTTCATCCGGGGGACAATTGCTCATAGTAGTTGCCAGGAAACCAAGCTGATTTCTGGTAGGAGCCTATTTAGATAGCCAGGCTTACATGTCTGTCCAAACAATATTGGTTGTTTATTTTTGTGTGTGTGTGTTTGTGTTATTGTGCTTTTGACAAAACAGCATTTTTCACTTAACCTTTTTTTAAGTTCTTCATCAATATTTGTCTCTTCTAGTATTTTTAAATACGTAAGTTTTACTGAAGTAATGCACACTTAGTGCAGTGCAATCTACTTTATTATATGACACTTTTTTTAGAAGTTCATAGTTCAGTGTTCTGTGGAGAACATGATATGGGATAAAAATATTTATTTTAGCAATTTGTGCTTTCCTACTATTTTTGTAGTTCATATTATATTCAAAACATAATGTTATTTGTGTGTGTTTGGGGTGTGTGTGTGTGCACCAAAAGCATGGTGAACTGCTTCCCGTTGGAGAAGAGTTGCCGCAATGAGCTTTGAAAGGCATCAGTTTAGGCTTAGAATGCAGGTGTTCAGATCATCAGTTTGTCAAGAAGGGAGAAGTGTCAACCTGAACATGGTCTCCAGAGGTAGGAGGGTCTTCTGTTGAACTCTGACTTTCTCAGAAAAAAAAAAAAAAAAAAAAAATTTGGATCCTGTGGATTCTAAAACTGCCTGAATTTTTACTATTTTTTGCATATATGGAGATGATGAAAGTGTCTTTTTATTCCCCAGTAAGTAGTTTTAGGAAAATAATATTAACAGAAATACCTTTAGCTTTCTTTGCTGACAATGCAATTTATATTGCACAGATGATGGTAGTTATAGTTGCTCTCATGATGCTTAAGTAGTTGTGGGTCATGGAAGAGATTCACTATTTTCAAATTGGATATATAAATGAAAGTACTATTTTCCATGTCAAACTTAAACACAAAACTTAACAGCAAATGCTGATCTGTAGCACTGCCCTAAAATAAAAGAAAGGAACTTGATACCTTGGTCTAAATAGGGAGCACAGATTGCAAGCTAGTGGTGAAAACCTATTTTTCCTTATACTTTGCAACAGGTTTAGTTKTATATTGTGCAACTGGTATTAGTATGTGTTATAAAAAGTATAAAATGAGAATAACCTATATGACCATGGAAGAGTCTGGTATACAGGTGGTATATAAATATTACCATGGATAMTTACCAATAAATTCTTTTTTTAATTTTTTTTTTTTGCTTCTCCTCTGGATTACTTAGACCTTGCATCAGGGGTGTTTYCTTCCTGTGCTTGTTTGCTTTTTTGCTAGAGTAAGTGGACAGAGATTGCAAGGACTTTGCTTTGCCCTGTGTGCTGCCCAGCAGCTGAGATAGCAAGTGGGTTGTAATTATTGATAGTGATCAGGGAAGAGCTATTCAGTTGAGAAGTGTATCTGATGCATATTTTCTTCTGGAGCACAGTTAGTTGAATATCTTGGTAGAATTGTACCAAAATTTTTTTTTGTAGCACTTAAATTTAAAACGAAAATATTTAAATCTTAAAAATAACTTTCATTTTTTTATTACTTTAAGGGCCTGACTCTGTAAATGTGTGGCTGAAAACATGCACGTGTATGCTGGATGGGACCGGACATATTCCAATGAACTCTTCATGACACTTTTCTAACTTTATGAAATTACAAATACTGGCAATTGGTTCTTTAGTCGCAGTTCAAGTTCTTGCAGTTGTTCCCAGCTTTGCTGTAGTGCYATGTGTATATCTTTTAGGCAAAATGGGGTCTGTACTAAATGGCTTTGTTTAGAGTGTTCTTCATAGAAATGTTCCTGCCACATGTATTTGCTTGGTCTGTGCATTCTCATATAGAGTGTTTCCTGGCATTAAAATGGACAATGAACATTTAAGCAAATGTGCTTAAGCATTTGCATCTATGTTAATTGTGGGAACACCCAGTTTTAGTGGCATGAACACTTCATATAAGCAGGCATCTGATGCAGTTCCTGCTTAAATATAAGGAAAACATTATTTGCAGCAAGAGAACTTCTTTGAAACAACATGAATTGTGAGGTGAGACATTTGACTTGTTTAAAAAGCTTTTAAATGGGGCTATTTTGAGGATAAATATTGGCTCTGTATGATATCTGAGAGCCTTGCTGTTGAATTTGGCTTAAATAGTACTTGAGTTGAACAGATCTTTCAAGGCCTCTGCATGGTCCTCTGTGTATATTACTTACAGGGAGCAAGAGGTTTTAAAAGTGTCTAGATTGTGTGTGTGTGTGTGTGTGTGTGTGTTTTCTTACATGTGTATGTGGGGATAAAGGAGAAGAGAGAGATGTTCCTTAGTCTTATTCAGGAGATTACTTCATCTCCTTATTAACAGAACAGTTTCACAGACAAGCCAGGAAAAACAAAGTGTCCTTTCCTAATCCTGCTATTTTGTTATTGGTTTTCCCACCTCATGTGTGAGTGGAGTTGAGGTTGTCACCTCATTGTGGTCAGTTCCACACCTTTTTCAGGATAAACAGCAGGCGAACTTGTATAAGCAGCATCCATGCCAAGGCCTTTTTATAAACCAAACTTTAATTTGTTATTGTTTTGGCATCCATGAATGTGTTTGTGAGACCATGTGGGCTGGCTGTGGAAGACACTATAAAAACTAACAGTGGAATGTTCATCTGGAGATGTTCTGGGTTATTTATGAATACTTAGGGCCCAATCCTGCCACCTTCTCTCACGCAAACTGTCCCATTGAGGTCAGCCAGTGATTCCGTTTTTTAAAGGATTACTTGTGTGTATAAAACTTTATTGGTTTTGATATATGGATGGAATTTTAAACTCTGTAGGGCAAGTAGGTAATCTATATTTATTGACATTCATTGGAAGCTAAATGTTGAAATGTGCCCTGTGCTCTTGGAATTAAATAAAAAGCAAGTTAATATGATTTAGGAAAAAGTCTTCGTGTTTGGTTATATCTTTGATTTTATAGGTGTCCATTACAAGGACCTTGTTTGTGTAAATTTCCCAAGAAACTTAAAATTAGGAGTGGGTTGCAGTCTCCTGTCAAGGCCTCAGCTTGAGGGAAAGGAGAGAGAATATAAATGCAAGTAGGTTAAGCTGGCAATGAATGTTCTCTGAGCAGTATGATGAAGCAGTAATTAATGATAAAAAAAAAAAAAAATTGGATTATTTGGAACAGATTTTTTAAGATAAGTTATGATTTGATATGAAGGTTATAAGTCATATTTATTTTGATCAAGAATTTGTTTTGATATTTGTACCAAATCAGATGCACTATCCATGATATGAAATCATACAGCAAGCACATTTAACTTGATATATTTCCAGTATCAAAACAAATATTTTGTATAATAGCCTGTAGACTTACTTAAGTATTTCTTTTGAAGCAAAAACAGRGCTAGAAAAAAATGATTTTCCTCCTTAATACAGACATCAAAAGGAAAGAGTGAAAAAAGCTATGAATTAACCTCATCTGCCAGCTAAATGTGATCTTTGAATAGAAATTGGAGCAATCTGAGCTCTAGGAGTGCTCACATGTTTTTTGGCATCCTCTTTACACCAGCAACCCTAAAGATTTACTTGTGACCCCTTTACTAAAAGGTTGAACCATCTTATAYATAGTTCCAAGCTCCACAGAACACCTCCAACTGGCTGTCAAGGTAGGTTGGTTTTGTCATTTTATTCCCTCCTTAAGCATCACTTTATATATATATATAATTTAAATAAAATACACCCTGCATATGCTTTCTAAGATCTCTATTACAGGTATAAGAGAAAATTAATTTTAGTAAATCCATTGAAACACATATGGTAACAAATTCCACGGACAGCATGATAAATGTGCCTTATATTTGGCATAGCTTTAACATACCACTTTTTATTGTTTTTCCATGATACTCTTTCACATAAGTAAAACTGTAATATAAGATTGTTTGCAAAGGGAAGTGTGAATTGATCACAACACGCAAACTGGATTTTCTTCAGGTTGGAGTGGAACCTATAATACTGTCTTTGAAGTTGCACTGTCCATTTTGAGGCCTTGCTGTGGATATGAGCTAGGTGACTTTCACTCTTTCTAAACCTGGAGCCTCTGACAGCTAAAGGTGCAAAATTTTCCCTGCTAGTTTTGAACTCCGGCTCCCCATGTAGTATCACGCTGCATTACTTGCCAAGCCATCAAGACCAATCATCATTCACTATAAGACACATTTTGAAACAATTCAAWTTTGGAACTGATTTCAAAGCCATTTAGATTTATATAAGGAACTCATTAAAAAAACACAACAAACTATTTTAAATACTGGACCAATTATCTATGTATACAGGCTACATATTGAAATAGTTTAAAATTTGAACTAGTCCGTCTCGAGCATAATCGATTTGGTAAAGATACCAAGCACGTGTAAGTGCTTCATTGAACAAGGCATTTTCCTTGCCACTTGCTGCCTTGCCAGTGATGTTGTTTTTTTGTAAATGACCTGAAAACAGTTTTTCATATAATCTTGCTAAACATATCATATCCCGGTGCAGGTAAAGAGTGGGTGTAGTCCTTCAGGCAGTGTCTAGATAGCGAAACTGAGATCATCCGAGCTGATGAGTCAAGTTGCCCTTAACAAGCAGGACAGCACGGGAAAAGTGTGAGCTCATGCTGCTGTTACTTCCTCAATAGTGCAGAAACCACAGAAGAGGATTCAATGATGATTACTAAAGAAGGAAAGGAGAGAACTAGAAACTCATACATGCTGGTATTTAGAGATCTTTGATGTGGCATTTTCACTCCCTGTTTTTTTTCAGACCAGAGTTTTATGGTCAGAAATAATTGAAGACTATTCTACAAGCCAAGGATTGTCTTTTCACTTTCTCCCTTTGAACAAATGGAAGCTGAGAAAAGTTGGTGAGCAGCAAGGTGTGTTGATGAGGTCAAGCTGGACTTGGGTGTTAGCCGACAGCAAGTGGGGGCTTCTCTTTTTTCTACAAGAAAATCATGTTAGCTTTGGTGTCATCAGGAATTAACAATATTGAAAGAATAATTGGAAAAAGAAATCCTTTAACAGTGTCACACCTGGTCTAAAGAAGAAAGGAAAAAATCAAGAAAACTAGTTGACTATGCAAATAGTAACCTAATGACATAGTTCTCTTTAGAAAATCATAATTAYGAGCAATATGGAGTACATAGACCTGCTATCCTTCCACAACTGCTTTTTTTTAAAACACATCTACTGCTGCATTTAGTGCACTGTTCTGTCCTTCCTTCATCTCGAAGAACRTAGCATAAAATGTCTGATACTTAGGAAAAAAGCAAGCTGCCTGTTTTTGTGCTGTTTAGSTTGGTGCAGTTTTTCTGTTGACTTCAGTGAAGTTTGAATTGGATCAGAAATGCCTGAACTAGGGCCTTAGTCCCCAGCATAACCATTTGGTTCAGTAGATTTCCTCCCTGATTTTTCTTTTGTAAGGAAATCATGATTATGACCCCATGTTTCAAATAGCCTTTAATAGAAAACATTTCCTATTTATGTATTTCCAACGCCAAATTAAATTTATGATGGGGATTGAGTGTGGTGGTTGCAACTCACTGAAGGGGACTGGACCTTGTGTCTTGGATGGTGCCTTCCAGTTGCATATTGCTTTCTTACCAAGGTCAGTATTTTTCTCTGTTATTGTCAGAAGGAAATGAAGTTAAATGAATCCCTTTTCATGTTTTCAGCCACAGTGGAGTTGAGAGGAAAGTTACAACCATGGTAATGTTAGCAGTCAATATTGTTTCTCTTTGCAGAACCATAAACAAAATTGTGAAGCTCGTTTCTAAAAGGTCTCGATGACAGCTCTGGTAAATTTAAGCAATCTGGCTACAGAGATGAATAGCATTTTCCTGTTACACATTTTATCTCTCTTTTAGCTTGTGAAGCTATTTTAAATCTAATTAACCTAGTGTCAAACTCTGTTTTTCCTCCAATGGTCTGAGAGCCCTGAACAAAGCTGATCTTTTTAATACAAATTTCTCTTAAAACATTTCTTTTGAACATTTTTCATTTTATTTGCCTGTAGACCAAAATAAGTTATTACCTCAAGAGTCTATAGCTATGGCAATAAAGCAGATGGTACTCACAGAAGCAAAGCAGTTTTTCCACTAATTCACAAAATATGTGTATCTGATGATGGTCTTCCCCTGGCTCAACTTGGGTTTTAGCRATTGTCGTTTTTGTCAGTTTTTCGCACCGCTGGTGAAATTTCACTTGAGTGAAGTCAGTGGAAATTTGGCTCTTAACATCACTGAGGACAAATTGTCACTCGTTGTGCATTAAGCTACACAATACTAATTGTAGCTAGGAATTGTATAGGAATTTCCCAAATGCCTGCCTGGCTTACCCAGCATCAGTGGCAGTGGTCCCTGTATGCCGGGAGCCAGGAGAGCTGCACTTGGATGCACCTCATTCTAGCATCTAGATCACTGGAGTTGTTTTATATTCATTACCCTTTTA